TTATTTATATCTAATTATTTAATCAATTTTATAACGATTTCTAGTTATTCATTTTTTTGTGTGGCGCTGCATCGCATCGCAGCCGTACTCCGTAGAACCGTCGTTGGGGCCCACAACTTTCGTCCACGTTGATCACGTCTCGGTACACGTGGCGAGTAAGGGATCATGATGATGATGATGATAGTTGTCATCAGTCCATTGGCTTGGCCTCCAATATTTAGGAAATCAGACCAACAATATTACGGTCAAACTCTCTTTTTTAGTTAATCATGGCATTTTGCACTTTCTTTTATTGTCCTAATGCCACGTATTATTTTCAACTTATTTGAATTTTGACTCAAACGTAGTATTTTAAATAATTTGCGAGAAAAAAAAAAAGATTAATAAGTACCATATTAAAATGCCCAAACTCGAATTCAACTCTACAATAATAAACTCGGGGTTCAGAAGAGTAAACTTATCTGATTTGTCAAATAAGTTAAACTTAAATCAAGTAATTTACAAACTATTTAGTTTATAGGTTTTTTCATCTTGTATTCTTAGAATATAGTATAAAAATATATTTATTATATTTATTATCAGAAATTTATATAATTTAATATTAATTTTAATGTCAAATAAATTTAATTTGATAATTAATAAATTAAAAGTTACTTTTTATTTTTTTAATATAAATTTATGACAAAAAAGCATATGTAATACACTTTTTAATTTATAAGTTAAACAAATCCTTACTTTATTTACAATCTTAATTAGTTTCATTACAACAATTAAACACTTACGGTTCACTTCCCTAGCAATTGAACTCTTCAATCAGACATTAATCTCTTATTTAATTTAAGACAAATAACCATAGAGAAAAATAGTTTCTTTTTATTTGCTTTGTTAAGATATACTAAAATAAAAAAAAATTAAAGCAAAATAAGATAATCTATCCATAAGTATGTTTTGTTACCAAAGAAAAAAAAAAAAAAGAAAGAAGGATAAAGCACTTCCCATTCCCTTTAATTTTTATTATGCAAAAATGAAAACTTCTTCTCTCTTTCAACCCAAATAAAGTATAAATATAAATATAAATAAAGCCTTTTAGTCCAATGATTCATTCTTAAATTTTAGTATTTGAGTTTAATTGGTTAAAAATTTAATAACCATTAACAACTTGAAAAAACATTTCCCATTCTCTAAAATTCTCTCATGTTCCAAAAAAAAAAAAAGAGATAAATATTTTTCTTACATTGAATTAAGATATAAATATTTATTAAGATAAAAAAAATATTTATCAGTACTATTTGTGAAAAATTAAACAAAAATTAACTCAAAATTATATCATTTTAATTAATTTTTATTAAAAATATTAAAATATCATAATTTTTAAAATAATAATGAAACTGTTTTAATTTGTTTCGTAATATTTTGTTAAAAAAATAATTTTATATTTTATTTCTATCTATTTTTTTTAAAAAATTCAACTTATATACATTAATCTTATAATGCACTTTAATTCAACACCAGCTTTCAACAATCTACTCCGAGATTTCTCCATGCCAATTTATTGTATAGCTAAATTGCTAGAGAAAGAAAAGAAAAAGGACTTGACCCCAATAGGGAAGAAATTTGAGGTATTTTTTTTTGTAATTTTAATTCTAAGTTATAAGTTAAATAAAGAAGAAAACTAAAAATCCTATAAATACAAGAGAATGTAGAAAAATTAAGATATTTTGAAATATCAAAATATTTTAATTAAAATTACATATCAAAAATGTAATGTAAATTCTATTCAAGTCAAAGTTAAAATTAAACACCTATGTTAAAACGTACAAATTTTTATTCTTTTTTATATGCAAACAGCAATTTTTTTTTTGGTCAATAACAGCAAAATATTTCACTCGATTGAAAATTTGAGAGGAAAAAAAAATATAATATTCTGTTTTTTTTTTTTTTAGTAATAAACATCAATATACAGAAAGAGAACTTTCTTTTTTTCTTTTTTTTTTCTGTTTTTATTTTTCTCTTCCCATTTTGTATAATGAGATAATTTACTAAATCCAACAAAACAGTAAAAACTGAAAGTGAAGAAGAAAAAGAGGAAAAATACCATCGCCACGATCACAATGATCACTGATTCTCAACGGTTGGGATTTACTCGGCCAAAATCGGCGAGTTTTCTCGACCTACTCTTGCAAAACGGAGCCGCTGTAGCCAGGCATGGCTTCACCGGAGCTCGAATCTCGCCCGGAAGCCCTATCTCTGGCGGCAATCCCCCCTTCTGGTTCCAGTGTCGATTCGGGCTCGCCCTCACCAGAGGACTCAAGCAAAACGTCAATCCGGACACGCTTCTGCCCTTACTTCGCCGAGTCGCCACTGGTGTCCTCCGCCACCCAGGCGATGCCTCCGACGAGCTCCCATACGGCGACCGATCGCCGCCTTCGTCCTCGTTATCCTCTCTCCCAACTGGCGACATTCCCCGATCTATCACCCTGCGAGATATTCGATCGCCGGCACTCGATTCCTCCATGTAGAACATATTCGATTGTTGTTTTTTACGCCGTACGGAGAAAATCGTAGAGAACCAGGAGGAGGATGGAGATGATGACGGGTCCTCGTAAGAATCCGAGGGAGCAGCCCTAGGATCCAAATTCAATTTCTCGGATCTGGACCTAAACAGGTTGGAAATTAACGATAACCTGCCTTTCTTCTTGTTGAATACTCCAGAGGCGGCGCAATCCGTGGTGGTGGCGGCGCTGCTGAAACCAGGACCAACCTGAGGTGTACTGTAGAAGCGTTGGTGGTGGGAGCAGGAGACGGAGCTGCCATCAGATTTCCGTCGAGTAACATAGGGCGAAACAGAACGGGGAAAAAGCAGGGGCGGTGGGTCAAAGTTGCGGCGATCGTCAAGGGCGGCCTGTGCAAGGTGGGCCTGATGGGCTTGGGCTAAGGCCTGAGTCTGGGCGGCGATGAGGGCGAGGAGGCGTTCCCTGAGACAAGAAGCGCAGACGCCCACGCTGCTACTCAGGTCCGTAAGATGTTTCTTACACTTCATTTACACACGAAATTCAGATTACGCTCATTTTTTTTTGGGGCGATACCCTCTCGCCTGTTGGCTGCTGTAGAGAGGGGAAAGGGGAGGAGGGGGGAGAGGGGTGTTTTCAGGCGAGAAAGTGCGACGATTGGGGGGCCTGAGGCGACTGAGGAAGAATAGAACAATAATGGGTAAACGTCTGGTGTTTTTTTCCTAGTATTTATTTAATTTATATATTAGTAGTAGGAGAGAGAAATAGGCTCTCTTTTTTTTTTCTTTTTTTTTTGAGGAAAAAGAAATAGGCTTTTTTTTTATAAAGAGAAAGTGGCCCGTGTTTTACAGGATTGCAGTAATACAAGGAAAAGGGTAAATAACCATGTTAATTTTAGGTTTTTTTTTATTTAAAATTAATTTTTTTAATTTTTAAATAAATGTATTAATTTTTAATTTTTTTA